TGTTGTCCACTTTTTATTCATACAAATAGAATAGTAGATATTCATACAAATAGAATAGTAGATAGTTCTTCAGAATCGGAAACTAAAACCTATGGCTACCAAACTATTTATTTTTAACCTTTTTAGGAATTTTACAATTTCAAATCAATTATCACATCATCTGATTTCTGCTAATGAGTGGATAATACCTTAACGTAGTTTTGGACCTACAATATTCGTAGAACATAGTAGAACAAAGTGTCAAAGTAAAAGTAGCAACATGCAATTGACGAAATATGCAACACACAAGTTGTTACCTATTATACATAGAAGAACAGCTAAAATAAATTAGTGATTAGTTTATATAGTTAGGTTGCTCACGAAAAGAATGGACTCGACTATGACTGACACAGAGCACAAATCCATTTTTTTGGACACTGCTGTTAATATTTCCAAAAACTTTGGCGAACTCGGCAGAAATCAACCTTACACAACTGATGTAGCAATCTGGCTTATACTTCGAATACTACTACTATGATTTGCAACCGCTGTGAAGCAACATGAACGCATTCGAAGAAGGCCGAAAAACATTGAGACAATCGTAAAAATCAAGCTATTCACCTTTGTCAGCAACAAATGGAGAGCATCGAGTACGAGTACTTTATCTCGGCGAAAACCTTGCAGAGGACCATTCTGAGTACTACAATCCAAAAATCAATAATTTCAAACCCACTATAAATGGTTACACAGATAAGTAGTTATATGAAAATTGTGTTCAAAGGGTTTCGATTTAAAGAAACATAAAACAAGTTTATTTTTTATATTTTTCTTCACTTTGTTTTTAATTTAAATAATTTTGTTTTAAATGTTTAAGTAGAGCTGACTTGAATTATTGTATTTTGGGGTACACAATCTTATTTCATTCTTTTAAAACAATTTTTTAATTATAACCACTTGGCTATTTAATAAAAAATTCAAATGAAAATGATTTGTGAATTGAAAGACTATGGAATTTGGAATTAAAACAATCATATTCTTTTTTAAAATGAATTTATTTTGTGAGAAATAGCTAAATTAGTCAGATAGGAATTAAAGCTAAGGCGGCAGCACTAGCAGAGGAAACAGTTCTGTTTGACTAGCAGCTTCCTCTGCGGCAACTGAATCTTTAATTAACGTTAAATTTGTGTCAGGCCATGCGTTTCAATGCGAATTCACACACTTAAGTTTTGTTGTTGATGCAGTTGTCAGAATTATGCAGGGCAAGGTTTAAAGCACATGCATTCTGTGCATTTAGCTGGCAAGCAGAAAAGGTGCGCCTTTAAAAACGCGACAAAAATAAAGTACCGTGTTCACCAATGCTCAATAAACAAAAGCGCAATTTCGGCTTAACCGTTACAAAGTATTGATGAAATGAACGCACATACAGTTAGGCAGTTGTATAGTAGTATAAACAGAGTTGCACAGTTTTCGTGCTCTACCATAGACAACATTTTTCATTTCCCGCCAGCAGACAGTGCCGCCGGCAGGTGAGTCTTTATGCAGGCCAGTCAGGCAGGCGGCAGGCAGGCCAGCAGTCGGCTGGCAATGCAATGCTTGTTTACTTGTTTATTTAGCAACAGTACGCGCTGTAAGTTTGCTTACCGTTTACATGCCATCAATATATTGCAATTTTTCTGTCTTTTGCTGTCGTTTTTCTTCGTTACTTATGCCCGCAAGACGCAAGTGTCTCGTTTTTCTTACTCTGCCATGAAAATTGCACTTTGCGGCGACCACACAACTGTGCGACGGTTGGGGGCTCGGGGTTGCCTGGCGACGACAAATACCGAGCAATTCATTTGCAATGCGGCTTAAACTTGTCGCTGAAATGCACAACTGCCGCAGGCCCTGCTGTTCCTGCTGCTACTGTCGCTCCTTCGCTGTGGTTGCCGTGCGCAGGATAAAGTTTCATCCAAAAACGAGTTGCGTTTTAAGTTGCAATTAAGCATCGCGCTGTTTGCCACTTTAATGTGCGGTCTGTGCTTTGGGCAACAGAAAAGCTGACTTGCCTAATGAATTAACTGCGGTTTCCATTCAATTTCATGTGCCGTTCTATAAAACTTGGCCGTCAATTTATTGATGTTACTTATAGTACTATACTATATATTTACGTAAGCTGTCATTAATATTTCGTAGCGCGCCTTTGCGCTGTTTGATGTCTTGATAAAAATGATTTGTAGCATAATTTTATGCGCGTACTGTATTTTGCTTCACCAGATACATAATTAAATAAAATATTTTTTTTGTTGACTCATTAGAATTAGTAAAGCAGTTAACTCTTAATAAAAACAGTATTATGTAAACCCTCGAGGCGCCAGTAAATATCTCTAAAATAAAAACAAGAAAAGAATGCTAAGGTCGACCAAGCTATAATCTTAAATACCCTGTACCACCCACCAAAAAAAAAAAATGAATAAAAAAATTAAAAAAAATTTTTTTTTTAAAATGATAATATTGAAATTATTAAAAAACAAGATAGAACGCTACAGTCGAGCAAGCCCGACAGTAAAATAGCCTGTACTCTCCACAAAAAAGAAAAATTAAAAAAAAAAAAAAATTAAAAAAAAAAAATTTTTTTTAAAAATTAAATTATTAAAAAAAAATGAATGAATGAATTAATTAATTAAATTAAATGAGAATACATGTTTATGTTCAGTTTTAACAGCATACGTTTACATCACGTACCTATGCGTGTTTATATGCGTGTATGTATGTAGCACAAAGTTGAACCAAAGCAGCAACAGCAGCGGTCAGCGCTGCCGACAGAGCTGCAGGCAGCGCATGAGCAGCGATTTTACTTATGGCTATAACTTTCTTCAGAATGATTAAACTTGGCATACAGACACATAATCACTAACGGGATTATGTGTCTAATTTTAGTTCAAAATTCCAAGAACTACGGGAGTTATGGAAAAAAACACGAATTGCGGGGGAGTGGGGGGGTGTATCAAAATAAAAAAATAAACTTGACCTGCCTAGGGCTTATGGGAATCTGGATACCGAGTTTGGTTATTCTAGCTCTTGTACCTTCTGAGATCCGTGCGCTCATACTGACAGACGGACAGACAGACGGGCAGACGGACGGACGGACATGGCTATATCGACTCGGCTTGTCACCCTGATCAAGAATATATATGCCACGCCTCCTTCTGTGTGTTAAATACATGCGCACAAAACTAGTATACCCTTTCACCCTTTTGGTACTGTCTTAATAAAATGGCAATCCAAACATGCGTTAATACTTGTATATTTAAAGCTTTCCAAATACCTCCACTTAGCGATTATGAGTAAGTATGCCAACTTTCATCATGATAGGTCAATTCTGAAGGAAGTTATAGCGATAAACATAATCTCAGCCGAAGCTCTGCCTGCGGCTGTGCCCGCAGCTGTTGTTGTTGTTGCTGCTTTGGTTCAAGTTTGAGCTGCATACATACACGCAGAGACACGATTCTGATGTAAATGTACATATGCTGTTGAAACTGTACATGAACATGTCTTTAATTTAATTAAATCATTTAATTAATATATATTTTTTTAATTATTAAAAACATTTATTTTTTCATTTTTGGTGGGAGGTACAGGGTATTTAAGAGTTGAGCTTATTATTATTTATTTTCTTGTTTAAAATAATTTCAACATTTTTTTCTTTAATTTTTTCATTTTTGGTGGGAGGTATAGGGTAGTTAAAAGTTGAGCCTGCTCGAGTTTAGCATTCCATTCTTGTTTTAAGCATGTGTAAATGATAGTCTAGTTGTAGCTAACATTAACATTGTTATTTTGTAGATGTGCGCTTTCCACCAAAATAATTTTTTTTTTTCAACAATACAATAAATATGCATAACTAAACGTTTAAAAATAGACAATGTGCAAACAAGTGAAATAGTTATTGGAGTATTTCCTAATTTAAAGTTATATTTTGGTGTTGTTTTTGATTTTATCGCATTTTTCACGTTTGAGTCTCTTCATGCCTTATTGACTCATTACGACCACGCACGAAATCGGAACATGAAACACGGTACTCGTGTCAACGCATTGTGCCACGAACAAAACGCACCGACTATGCCCATCTCTAATCCTGTGAGTATACACAGGATATGTGCCCCCAACTGTTTGATATTTAGCGTTGTTTGTTATTTATTGATGCTGCATCTGTGAGGTGAAAAACTTATTTCGGAATTTTTTTAAATTGTTAGTTAGTTATGTTATTAACTCGATCTTCTAATCTCTAGTAGATTAATTTAAAACACCAATAATTAGAGCTCCAAGAAAAATTAAAAAAAATCAAGTATGCTGTTTTTTTTGTTTTGTATTCTTTCATTGATTATAAAAAGTTAATTGGTGGAAAAATGAAAATTTTTCATACACAAATTGAGCTAGAATTTTCCTAAGCCGTCCACCTATGAAGGGATACTTGAGTCCAAACTTCAGCTTCCTAGCTTTTACCGTTTGGACTGTGCGTTGTACAAGTAATCAGTCGGGACAAACGGTTTTATACATATACATAGATAGATATATATTGGACTACTAATAATATTTAATAATATTGATATTGAAAAAAAAAAAAACATTTTGGTATGACGGCCAGAATTTGATATATGGTATATTAGGGGATATTTATATAATATTTAACCCATCAATTTCATAGCTAAATCTCAACAGAATACTTTCTTTGTGCAGGAAGTATAATTGGGGGTAACAAATAGAAGCTATACAAGTAGATTCCAATGTTATTAAGGTAATGACGAACATTTATTCATTGGTATAGCGTAGCACTTAGGCAAAAACTTTAAAATTTTACAAATTGATTAATGGATATGCATAATATAATACTTGTATTATTAAAATAATGTTCAAGCTTGATAGATAAGAATGAAAATAATTCTAAAATATACACCAACAAAACAATCAGCAATCGGCGTGTACGAGTATAAATATCAATTCAATTATGCCTCACGATTCAGTAAAGCGAAAATCATTGTACGATAATGAAAGTGACTTTGAGCATTCTGAGCATTATAATATTGCTTAGCACGGCATTGGCAAAATGTCCCAGCAAATTTACGCAAATTGGAAATAAATGTTATTATGTTTTCAATCGAGAGGTAAGTGTAGAACTTGATCATTTTTTGTGGTGAACTAATTAACAAATTGTAATTTGTAGACGGATTGGTTAAGAGCGGAACGAAAGTGTCGGCAGCTTAATGCACATCTCGTTGTGTTCGAGGACCAACAGGAAGTGGAATTATTGACAAGCTATCTGAATGACAAGAATTTAACTAGCACGCAGTTGCTGTGGCATGAATCCCTGTGGATGGGTATAACCGACTTGGATAAGACCCGCAATTTTATTGTCGAGCACACAAATCAGCCTATGTCTTACACTATGTGGGGCCCCGGAGAGCCAAACTATTCGATTCAACAATGTGTTGTAGCGGCTAAGGCCACACCAGCTGACAAGCTTTTGTATCATACCTTTCGCTGCGAGGAACATGCAAATGTTGTGTGCGAGCATCCAATACTGGGCAGCAGAGATCGCTTGAAAGAGGTGCCGATTTCCCTCAAATTGTCAGAACTGCCCTATTATTGTGCTGCTATTCAACGTTCTTGTGGTAAAAACTTTCAAAAGTTGGACGCGCTGTAGTAAAAATCCAGTCTTGCGTCGCATATTATCAGTTTTATTAAACATTAACATTTACATTAAAAATTTAATCGTAAATTTGCGCACATGCGTACACTTAGCCCTAACGGATTGCATATAAATAAAATGTCGAAAGCTGAAGCAGAGAGCGGTCATATACAAGTAGTATGTATATATGTATATAGTAAACACGACAATTAACTACAGTGGTCGCTCAGAACGTAGAACTTTCTCAAATGAAAATTCTTAACAAGAGAGAACGCTACTGTCGAGCAAGCCCGACAGTGAAATACCCTGTACCCAGGTAAGCTTCCGACCGAAGAAGCAAAAGGAAGAAGAAGGGCGAACTTGATGCTGCAGCTTGTGGGCGTAGTACCGGAGTGAAATTGTTTCGCTAATAACTTTTTTTAGAATTAGCTGATTTAGATGAAATTTGAAAGAAACAGAGAATAATATAGAAATTATGTGTGCAAAGTTTGGTTAATGTAGCTTTTGAAATGTGGACAGGGAGGGGGATATTCCAAAAAATAAAATAAGCTCGTCCTTTTCGGTCTTAGGAGAATCTGGATACCAACTTTGGTTATTCTAGCTTTTATAGTTTCTGAGATCCTTGCGTTCATCCAGACGGACAAGCAGACAGACGGACGGACGGCCATGTCTAGATCGATTTCTCTCGTCATGCTGATTCAGAATATATATACTTTTTGGGGTCGGAATTCTGCAAATTTTGTTTGAGCTGAAGAGTGTAGGTTAGTAGAATTTTTAGATGACAAGCTGAAAAGAGGTGTTGCTGTCCCGCCATTGTTCTACATCGATAACTTTTCATAGCTTGGTATAGAATTCAGAATACATGATGGAAATGTAATATTTATATGATACTGAGCGCATTGGTTTTACAGCTAGGCTCCTTTCCATTTCATTCAAATAAAATATATCCCAGGCATTACCACGAAAATCAATTCAGGAGGCACATAAATTGACTGTTTTCCAAATATTTTTTTATATCATAATATTTTGATTTACCCTACATTCGCTGTACACGCTTTTAGAAATATAATTATTGCGCTTTCGTTATTTCAAAATTTGCAAGCATGATAGATAAGAATTGAGAAACATGGAAATATAAAACCATATTATACATATATACTCTTAGTTCAAAAATCCATTATGAGTTAGTAAGCCCAGAGTCTTTGTACGATAATGAGGTCGGCTTTGAGCGCTCTGAGTATTGTAATACTACTTAGCATGACTTTGGCAAAATGTCCCAATAAGTTTGTGCAAATTGGAAAAAAGTGCTATTATGTTTTCACTCAAAAGGTAAGTGTAGAACTTAATCATTTCATTGTGGTGAACTAATGAACAAATTGTGATTTGTAGACGGATTGGCTAAGAGCGGAACGAAAGTGTCGGCAGCTTAATGCACATCTCGTTGTGTTCGAGGACCAACAGGAAGTGGATTTATTGACTAACTATTTGGAAGAAAAGGGTGTGGTTCTTACTGTGCATCCACGCTGGTGGGATGAATCCATATGGATAGGTATAACCGACTTGGATAATACCCGCAATTTTATTGTCGAGCACACAAAGCAGCCTATGCGTTATACTCTGTGGGGCCCCGGAGAGCCAAACTATTGGTTTCAACAATGCGTTGCCGCGGCTAAGGTTACACAAGCTGATAGTCTTAGTTATCATGACTTTGTCTGCGAGGAACAAGCTAAAGTTGTGTGCGAACACCCAATTTTGGGCAGGAGAGAGAGCATGAATGAGGTGCAGATTTCTCTCAAATTGTCAGCACTGCCCTATTATTGTGCTTCTATTCAACGTACTTGTGGTGAAAACTTTCAAAAGTTGGACGAACTGTAGTTAAAATGCATTATGGCGTCTCATCTTAACATAGTTTTATTAAACATTAACATTTACATTAAAGATTTAATCATAAATTTGTACACATAAGTAGCAGTAACAGATTGCATATAAATAAAATGTCGAAAGCTGAAGCAGAGAGCGGCCATATATAAGTAGTATGTATGTACATATATATGTATATAGCAAACGCGATAATTAAGTACAGTGGTCGCTTAGAAGGCAGAAGTTTTTTAAATGAGAATTCAAATGCTGCAATAACCAAACTTGCAAAAAAAAAAAATCAGAGCTCGGCATACTTTTTTAAAGTTAAGATAGAGTTTTTGTGCAGTTACTATTTAAGATATTGCCATTTAAATTTCAAATTGTTGAAATCGTGCTCTTAAAAGGTGTAAAACTTATGTGTGTACATTCAGGATATTTTGTAAAATAGATTTTGTTTTTGTGCTCTCGAAAATATAGTTATTTCTAAAGAGACTTGAAAACTCTATTTATTTTATTTGCTTTACTGTAATTGGATGATGTTTGTTGTAAAGTAATTAAGAGAAAGAAAAACTTCTGAGCTTTGTTTAACTCTATAATTAATTATCATTATCTCTGTACATAAACTAAATGGGGCGACCACTGTATATAGCAAGAGAAATAAAGTGTTATTGAATATAGTTTTTCAATTGCTGCTTTCGGCTGCATTGCAGGCGTGCCTGAGTTAATATGCGAAGGATATGCAGCCAGATACATTTATGGGGAGGGAGGGTAGCACAGGCGCGCGGCACATACATACAAGTACATATAGAAGTATGTGTATATTGTTAAAAATGTCATCACAGTCATATGGAAATAATTGCGCTCATTTCGATTCTCGCACACGAAGAATAAATTGTTCTCAATGTTGAATGAATTAAAGCGATAAGGCAGCTGCCCATCACGTTGTCATTTCGGAGGTGCTCTCCAAAATTTCTGTGCGAGCAACGGTCTCTGTGTTTGCCTCGACCTCCTCAGCTGCTGTGGTGATAATTGTGGGCAACGTGGTCGTTGTCGTAGTCAGCTCCAAGAGCTGTATTTGGTTTTGTTGCTGTTGCTGCATTTGTTGCTGCAGCTGCTGACGTTGCAGCTGCAGTTGTAGTTGTTGCTGCATGGCCAGAAAACTGGCCAAGTTTGCCGTCAGTTTCGCCTTGTGGTTCTCCACGCGTCGTATGTTACGCACCAAACGATTGTACACCAAGGGCTTGACGTCTATAGCCCATAGAAAGTCGAGATGATTGAAGCGTTCCATGGGCACCAAATACTTGTCAATCACATTGGGCAACTCGCGAGCCAGGCGATCGACGCCTGTGGTGGATACGAGTAGATCATTGACTGAATAATAGAGCGCCACTGGTACCTTGACGCGAGAGAGATCGTAATCTGGTGGTGTCATGCGATTATATTCCAGCTGATTGCGCAAGTAGCCGCGATCGAATTTACGAAAATGTCCCGACTTCATCAGTTGGCCAAAGTGTTCGAGCTGCTTGATTGAAGCGCCCGAGGGCGTGTGACTCAGCATTACGGGCAGCATTGTCTATGGGAGCGAGAGGTGGCGAGAAGAGGGCTCATTAGTACAATAAACTTGCAATTAGGTAATTGTCACTGCAACAAATTGCCACAATGAATTATGCATATGGTGTCATGTTAAGTATACGGCGCGTGTTGCAGCCATCGACCCACACAATGCACCCCATGAACAACAACGTTCTCTGTCGCTGAAGTGTAACGACGAAAACAACTCATATGCCAGCACACACACGCACACACACACATACAAATATTAACACACAGCAAGAGCAGGTGCGGCCCTCTAAGGTCAGACACAGGCCTCAATTCCATTAGAGATGAGCAATATTTCGTGTCTGTCCTATTTTTGTACCCTGTATCCAAAGGGTAAAGGGGTATATTAGTTTTGTGCGAGTGTACATGGAACACACAGAAGGAGGCGTGGCAGACCCCACAAAGTGTATATATTCTTGATCACCATGACGAGACGAGTCGATCTATACCTGTCTGTCTGTCCGTCCGTTTGAACACCTGGATCTCAGAGACAATAAGAGTTGGAGGCACCAAATTTTGCACAAAGATGCCTTATGTGTGTATTCTATACGAGTTTGTTTTGTTTTTTTGATTCCCCCCCCCCCCCCCCCACTTGCCACCTATGGGGGTTTTCCCGATTTTCCATTCGTATAATCACCTATATCTCGGAGACTATAACACCAAGGGACATCAATTTGAAGCCCAAGATGCCTTTTGCGAATACGCAAAATGTGTATTTTGGAATTTTCCTCCCTCCCCCCTCCCCACCGCAATCATTGAGAAATACTTCCAGTTGGTTATTATGAGCCTGTATGCCAAGTTTCATAATGATATTCCGATTTAACAGGAAGTTATAGCCATGTATCTACCGCTTGGCCCGCAACTGTTGTTGTTGTTACTGCTTTGCACAGGCACACGAGACATACACGCATAATTATTCTACACATCTGTACAGCGTATTTCTAAGTCGGGACATCCGACTTTAGCTGCCCTACTTATTAATATATCAGCTAAACAGTTATTAACAATTTCGTTATAAGTATACTTTATAAGGCTATAACATATCTTTAGTCTGACAGACTAATGCTCATCTCTAATATTGTTTCTTCTCTGTGTAGCGCGAGATGCTCGTTTTGTGTAACATAATTATGCCAAATTTTCAGCGTACCAACAAGATAGAAACAACAATAACAGCAACAACAATAACATCAACAACAATAACAGCAACAACAAAGACAGCAACAAGCTGTGTACCAGCATTGACATCAATGCCAATTTCATTTAGTTAGCATAACCCGCTGATACGCTCCCTCGAGCCGACTGCTTCGTTTAACGGCGGGCATTTAGGGTTCGTTGCCTGTAATTTGTGTTCCATAATTTTAAGTTAATTCGGGGCTTTTATAGGGGAATTTTCGGTACGAATTATTTTTTCTACTTTAAGTTGGCCACATAGAACTTATAAGTTTATGGAGCATATAAGAAACCAAACATTTGTAAATATATATTGATCACAAATCGATTAATAGATATTAACATTTTATTTAGAGGAGGACAAAAATACCCATCATATTTTGTAAAGAAAGGTTGTACTTAAAAAATTATAATATACCTTTTCAATATATTAAATAATATTACAAACTATTTGCAAATTACGTGTTGAAATGTTTTAATGGGACGTCAGTAATTGAAAAACAGAGTGTTAATGTATAGTTTCTTGAAAGCTAATAAATGTTCTCGTAGCACACGGCAATAACAAATCAAACAATTACCAGAAGCCCGAAAATATAGATCGATTTAATTACTTGCGTTTCGAGTATCAGAACTAATATACATAAGAAAACATTTCTTGATACATATATTTTTATTAAATCTCCTCAATTCTTTAGAATTAAAATTTCACTTTACAATTTCCTTAATTGTCCGTTAATTGTTATGTCCTGTACCCAAAGGGTAAAAGGGTATATTAGTTTCGTGCGAGTGGACATGTAACATACAGAAGGAGGCGTGGCAGACCTCACAAAGTATATATATTCTGGATCAGATTGACAAGTCGAGTCGATATAGCCATGTCCGTCTGTCCGTTCGTCTGTATGAACGCAAGAATCTCAGCAAGTACAAGAGCAAGAATAACCAAACTTGGTATCCAGATTCTCCTAAGTCCGAGAAAGGACGAGTTTGTGCGTTTTTTTTTTTTTTTGGATACATACGATTCTATGTAAATGTATGTAAACATGTCTCCACTTTTGTATATATGTATTGAATAATTTGTATTTAATTTAATAATAAAATAATTTAATTAATATCATTTTTTAAAATTAATTACAAATTTTCCTTTTTGGTGGGAGCTACAAGGTATTTTAAGTTGAGCCTACTTGACTTTAGCATTCCTTTCTTGTTTTTGATATAAAAAATTTCTTAGAAGCAAAAAAACCAATGGATCTGTTTCTCTACTGATTTGAAAACAAATATTTACATAGAACTAGAAACTGCCTCTCAAAATAATTGCCTTTTAAATAAAATATATTTATAATGCATAATTATTGAATTTTTAATCTACTAGATCAACAATATGGTCTCAAAAATAACAATTAACCAACCCTTTATTCAAGTATTGTTCCATTTATTATGTAATAAATAGAAGGTAATAATATTGAAGCGTCCAATTTAATATAAATAAAATAATAAAAATGCAAAGATAATTTCTTTTTATATAGACTCTATGTTCAAGCAGAGTTTGAGTTAAGATTGCATTGCCAATTTTAATGCAAATACCCAAAACCCAAGTCTAAATTACGATTTGTGTCTGAGCGGTTTTACATAAGCCCCTGCGCAGCTCAGGACACAACTAAACACTAAAGTCCTCGGACACATAGGCAGACAGACAGGATACGCACGTACCTCATGCATGCACGCACACACACACACACACACACACACACACACATACACTCACACACAGACACTCACTTCATCGGGCCAAATAGGTGGCTTAATTAAGTGCAACTTAATGAAGACAATCGCATGAGCAAACAGACAGGCAGTTGAAATGGCAAATCGATAAAATCCTTGGCTGAAAATCACGCAAAAATGCGACGAACGAACCTTATTCAGCTGCTCCGAATTGTAGCCGGCGACCAAAAACAGGATATTCGAGCAGACGTCCTGCGTCATGGCGTTGTCGTGGCACACGACCTGGCTGTGGTCCACCAGGAATTTCGTGTTCGGCATGAATTCCGTGATGCGCAGCATGCGTGTGGCAGCCTGTAAAGTACACAGACAAACATGTAAACAAGAATGTGAGGAAAGGCATCAACACAAACGCACACACACACACACATACACACTCACAGTAAGGAAATCGAGGAACAGAACCAGCGTGCGAAACAACGGACTCTTCATGTCGTGTATATAGGCGATGGGGGCCAGAGCATGCATCGATGTTATTTTTTGGGTGTATGCGGGCTGTTCGGAGCACAGCACCCAGAATATAGCCGTGCCTTGTGAGTGGCCGATATAGTGTAGTTGCTCGTAGCCCGTCTTGCTCAGTATATAGTCGATATTGGCGGGCAGATCGTATTTCCCCATCTCATGAAAGGTGAAGTCCCAGAACTCTTGATAGTCGCTATTCAGACTTGTGTGATTCTTCGAGTAGCGATTACCTCGCGAATTCCCCATCCAGACATCGTAGCCCAAATCGGACAGCATATAGCCTGCAATATAGAATATCGAATTCAGCATCAACACAAATAGAAATTGCTTCTCAGGCGTTAGTCTCACCCAAACCGGACTTGGGACCCATGAGCACCCATGTCGCCGATGTATCCAATATGCCATGCATCAGGAGCACTGGTTGGGCGCCCTTCTTTGGTATGCGATGCATTTCCAGTATATAGCCATCTTTGGTCACCACCGTGTGCGTCTCCGATGGATAGCCATATTTGCGTATTAATTTCGGCTGCGAATGCACAGAGAGAAAATCCCTTAAAAGTGAGTTGTTTTCATTTTTTCGTACGAGTATGTTTTCTTTTTATTTTGGTAGGAAGCTGTAGGTGTCAGTGTATAATGCCGATGAATGCGAAAGTGTAAGTGCAAATCACGGCAGTGTGAAATTGACTTCTCGTTCGGTGGCATAAAAAAGGGACTGCAGTCGCTTTGAAGCTTTTTCAATTTGCATAACTGCCTATATATATATGTGCCTGCCATCCAACGAACTACAAAATAACAAATCACACTTGGTTTGTGAACTTTAATTTATTTATTCAGATGGCAATAGTTCGATAACTTACAAATATTGACTAACTGAATTATGTATTTAATTGAAAAACCTTATAATACAAAAAAGAAGCAAATCAACCTACAAAACACAATACATAAGCTACTGTCGCCAAAAATATAAATTGTTAACCACTAAATAAGAGTACATTTAATGTAAATCATCAAATTACAAATCGTAAACTTAAAAAATTTTGAGGAAGTGGATTGGTTGATGAAAAGTTGTACATGAATCTGACAGAGAGGGTGTTCATTTACTATTCATTTCTAAGCACTTGGCTACCTACCTATACAATAATTTGATTGCTCATTTAATTACCCTTCTAATTAAAATGCAAAGTTGACAAAGCCGCAACAGCGCGTGTGCACATAATTATTTTAGAATTTCTTTATTGACACCAACAATAAAAAACTGTAATAGAACTCACATAAAATGATATAGCCAAGCTGATCAGATAAAACTATTCTGCAATTACATATATGTATAGTTATAGTTGTTGCTGTGACGCCATTAAATCACAGATAGATTCTTATGTCTTCAGCAAAACTATCACGTATCACGCATACGCACTGTGGCCACGCACATGAATCAGTAAAACATTTTCCGGGTAGGTGGATGGGTGGTGGGTGAATCGGTTGTCAATATTGTTCGTGAGCATTTTGATAAGTACAATCGTCAAATTGTACAACAGCAAGGAATTACATAATAGGGTTTGTGCACCCTGCCAGTGGGTATGTTTGGACAAAAAAAGAAAGAAACCGAACAGAAAAAATTATAAACACGCACAGCAACTAGCTTTGTATTGCACAAATCGAAAAGCACATTTATTCGGCGGCGTCGACTGTCTGGCATTTTAATTAACCTTGGCAGCGAATAGCCGCATGTACCAACAACAAATACAAAATAAAAAGTAGCTTGTTGCAAGCCAACTTGCCGGCTGGTTGGCCAACATGAGGAAACGATACGGCAAAGTAAACCAGTGGAATACTTTTCCTCCCCAACAATTTTATGTACACACGAGTAAACTATATAAAGTATATTTATATATAGATGTATATGTATATATATTTCGTATATTTCCTTGCATCGCTTATGCAATTTTGTAAAGCTGGTGTTAGCCAAGAATACAAAATGTATGTCTCCCACAGGCCTAGCCCCTTCTTGCAGCTTTCAGCAGCCTGCAAATTTTTGTGGCCTGTGCGTGGCTTCAAGTTGAAATAACTTTTGTTTTTCTTTTTCTTAGATATTTTGCGCCAAGGCTTGACACACTTTTTGGCTTGTCAAAATGGCACAACCCCAGCTAATATTTACTTAAGCCAAGATGCCGACAAAGTTGCAGCATTTCTGCTTTATCGCGCGCATCTTGAGCGTTTTTGTTGTTTGTACGCTGCGGCATACTCTGGGCTTGCCCAGTTACGAAATGTGGCAAGATGCTGAAACCCACACGTAAATGGCAGCCAACTGTTTGGCTATAAAAAATGCAACGAGCCACATTGTTATTTATTTTTTTAGCAAAAGCGTTTTTCATTTTATTAGCCAGTTAAATGCGTTTGGTTTGACAATCAAGTGGCCACGAGCTGTGAGCAAATATTTTAATATGAATATTCTTCAGGAAACGTGTTAGTGAAGTGTTATTGAAAGTGTCCGCACTCGATGGGTTTCGATGAAGGCTAACTTGTTCCCAAGTTAGTGTATTGTGGGCCCAGTTTTGCAAATTAGCCACAAGTGGAAGCAAATGTTTGCACAGTTTCTTGTATTAATGCTTTGAATTACAATTTGTAGATGGAAATACTCTTCGGATTAATTAAAACAAATAAACGATTCTTTTATTCGAAATAAACGTTATTTAGTTAAACAATTGTTAGCGAAGGTCTCATATTGTAATTAATTCAAACAACAACAATTTTTATTTAAAATTTATTTAGTGGCATATACATTCAAAGAAACTGAAATTCCTAACGATTTTTTATTGTGAAATAAAAATTGTTTTGTAAATTTATATTTATGATTAACAGAAAAACTTGATTCCACACAAATTTTACTTACAAGCCTTGGAAAAATTTGCTTTTGGTTGCATTCAAAATAACATTATCTACCAACACATTGATAAATTTAATTCATCTAGTCTGCTAAATCAGTTTGTTTGTTTCGGTTTGTGAAACAAACACAGATTCAATTATAAAATATCAGAACTATAGTATAGCCTAAAATAAACCTAAGCCTAAGCCCTGATTATGAAAGAAAGCCCAGAAGAGATGACTTCTGGTTGTTGCTTTCACTTTTATTGCCGTATTACGTAGATACGTAATGTTAATGATGAGAAATAAAATGAATGGAAGGAGACCAACAACATAGTATAGTATGCATATATTTTGCAAGAAACTTGCCTTTTTGCCAAAGAAATTAGTTACTTGAAATGAAACTTTTCACTTTATTTTAACTAAACTGAAACTGTTTTGTGGACGATCTAAGATCTTTAAGTCGATAGTTGATATATTGTAATGCAAAATTTCCCACCCTAGCTATGGTGCATAGTTTACTATGCATAGATAGAAATGCTGACCAACCATCGAATACACTCGATTCGTTTCATTAAGAGAAATCCGTCACAACTTCTGAACTTTACTATCCATATTATTATAGAAGCAGATGCAAATACTCGTAATTGTTGCTTTTTTTCCGAAGCACCAACAAAAATTGTTCAATGCTCACTGTATTTTGAAATACAATAATTTAATTTGCTAGCGTGTTTATTTCAGATTTATAAAACAAAAAAATTCGACTCTATATCAACTCTGTTACATAACCCTATCTATGTAAAACGGCTTTTGCAATATTTTCGAAAAAAGTACATAACTGCAATAAAACTTTGTGTTGAAAGAGTAGCTGGCAAAATACGATAAAGTTGTACCAATTAAGCACGGTTGAAAAAAATTATTACAATTTGTCAAACAGCAATCAGAAAGTGCACAGTAAAATAATTTATTTCACTTTAGGACGACAAATTTTCAATTAAAAATTGTGCACGATTCATCAAAGTGGCGAACATAGGAAAAAATTGAAAACATTTATTGGTCAGTCACAAAAAAATAGTCCCAACTAATGCGAAAAACAATGAAGCCAGCAAACTGTAATTAAATAAACAAACCATATATCTCTCGACCTATGCCAATGTGAGATATATATTATTTGTTGCTTTAGTAATTATTTTTCACCTCCCATTTATGTCTGTGTTGTTCGTTTGTTTGGCTGAGTTTCATTTTTATGGCTTTTACTGTTTTGCTAACTGGTCTTCAATATTTTACATTTGCCGACTCGGCCCAACCCGCACAAACTTTATTAGCACCTACATGAGAGTCGTGTGAATAGCTGTGCTGGAAGGGGGCGACTGTGGTCCCATGTTTCGATTATAATGTTCATCATGACCCACTAATTTGCTTATTCAGGTGTTTGTGTCGCTGCTAAGTCGTTGGTTCGTGTACACACTAATTGGCAGCTCGCACTGCACATTGCACATTGCTGGGCCTTCATTTGTCTGTCGCGGGCTCTCTGTCCGTTTTTGTAATCTCAATGCAAATTATTTTAATGTCAACGTTTGTTTATTTGTCGTTTGGACCGCGCTCCTCATTTGCATAAAACACATTTGGCTGCCAGCCACTTTGATTTGTCAAAGCAGCCACCGTTTGCGGCTCGCCACAAGGAAACACAAAACACTTTTGTTTTAATTGATAGCCATCACCAACATCATCACTACATCATCATCATCATCATCATCATGATCGTTTTGTAATTGACCTTGATATTGACTTCTCTCGTATTCAAAACCAATCATCATATTATAGATAACTAAAGCCGTCGATTGAGCGCCTGACTGATTGGCTGACTGACTGAATGGATGAGTGTGCGAGCGACCCGACCCCAACCCAAAAACCAGTTTGCAGGTTTCAAATTGAAGTTGAAACTTTTTGGCCAAGTTTTTGAGTTGCTGGCCACTTTATTTGATTCGACATCAATTTAATTTTAAGCAGCTTATACTAAAGGTTAATCACATTTGAACTTCCGTTGAGGTTGGAAACTAGAGCAGTTTGTTAATACAAATTAAAAAAAAATTGAATAACTTTGATAAATGTATGCAAGATAGGAAGTAAGGTGACCAATTTGCATTCTTTTAAGTTTATTGAATCAATTCTGCTAATATTTATTTCATTCATTGACTTTATATTCATATAATGTGCAGCTAACAAAAAGACAATGAAACGTTATTAAACGCTATTTTAGTTTTATGACTAGAGTAAAAGCAACTGGACATTTGTTTACAAATTATATCTTTCTAACAAAGCCATGGATCTTGCTAATAACTGAAGACACTAATCAGCATTTATCGATTATTATATGGACAGAGAAAATTATCAATTGTGCCTAGAAGTGCATTATTTACGTTAATGGTACTAACACATTACTTTTCGGTTTAAATACTTATTCTGTAAATGAGTATTAACAACAACGACGGAACTCGTATTATAAATCAATTACTTGAAAGCATGTACTGTAAGCATGTACTGTAAAAATCGATCAACATTTTTTTTTTAATTTTCTTAATTTTTTTTATTTTCTATAATTATTGTAAACAGAGTACAGAGTATTTCAATGTCGGGACACCCGACTTTACCTTTTTTACTTGT